GCCAGCAACAGTGGTAAGAGCAGTTGTTGAAGGCATTGGTAAAAGAAAAGTTTGTTGAATGAATAAGTTCTTTGGTAGCTGTTAGATTAAGTCCTCACTTAAAATCGTGCTTCCAATCTCGAAAATGGTGACTTTAAGTGAGACAGCGGTTCTCATTGGAATCAGTGTTAAAACCAGAATTGGGGTCTGTACCACCTTACTTTTCAAAGAAAACGCAACATTTAAAAATTATACCTTGTAGGTTGAAACACTTTACATTGCCAAATTTCTACATTGCCAAATTAAATAACTTCTTTAAAAAAATAATAAATTCAGAAAAGGAAAATATAATTTTCTTCTTACTTGCACCTTCATAACCCTGAGCTCCTGGGGAAAAGAACAAACCAAATTTAAAAGTTCTTTTCAAATTGCAAAAGCATTACCAAATGCCATGCCCCATATCACCACCACCGTCTCCTCATGAAGCTGTCTGCACTACTTCTTTTCCAAGCCTACATTGTAATTTCTCATTCCAGCTTATGAAAGTGAGAGTTCCTGGTAGAGATTTCCAAGGAATCACCATTCTTGGAGTGAAAAAATTACTTCTCCTCTCTGTTTTAAATGGGTTCCCCTTATCCTGAGATTATGTCTCATGGTTTTAGGCTCACCTGCTAGGGAAATTCACCCAGCAAGAATTGTATAAATTTTCAACACTGTAATTGTTGAAGGCTCATGATTATATGTAGTATTGCTTTTTGGGAACATGGTCTCTAAATTGAAGAAAAAATTTAGTTTTAAGTTCTGTGAAGGTCAGGAGGTTGTTTTGAACAGTGAGCTGAAAACAGCATTTCCAAAAATGCGTGTAATTTTTGTAAACGTTTACCAAACCTCAGAGGTGATCGTTGCTAGGGTGTTGACTGACTTGTGCTTTACAACCCAGAGAGAGTCCAAGAAGCAAATTAGTTTAGAGAGAAGCAGGTGAGTCAGTGAAGAAGTTCCTAACAATTGAGGTACTGTTATCAGCAATCTCCAAAGAATGAGGGCTGGGGAAAACAGTGCTGTATAGTTTCAAGGAAAGCTGGAAATCGGAGGCTATTCAGGTGTCGGGGAAGAGGATATCCTCAAGGCTATCGAAGACCTGTGAGATTAAGGAGCACATGTTAAGGAGTAAGTGAGCTGAGTTAGCTTGTTTAAGGCTCTCAGGAAGAGACATTAACTAAAGAAAATAGGATTGAGTAAATGCAGAAACATGCTGAATAAAAACTAGGTAACAAATGTGCCACCTGATTAAGGAGCTTTTAAACTGGAGGTAGGGATCACCCTTCAATGAGGGTTGAGTGTCTGCAAGGTTGTTGTTGAGATAAAAGGGTTTAATCTTTCAGAGGCAGAGAGAGATATGTAATAAGAACATTTCATGTAGTTCTTGTATTGTAAAATAGGTTTTAAAAATCCTTATTGTGTGAAATAAACTTTTTGTGAAAAGTACATTGGCAGGCTCTTGTGAATATGTTCACTGACTTAGCACAGTGAACAAAAAAAGACAAAATTCACAGTCTGTCAAACCAGGTCTCATTCTGGGATCTGACTTGTCCAGTATTACCACCTAATGCAAGCCCAGTCTCCTCAATCTGTCCTTCAGAAGACAGTTCCCACCCCCCACCCCCCATCTCAAGGATTAATCTGGTAGGGAGAAAAGAAACAGAAATTGCTGGATGAGGGCAGCAGGTGTGCATCTGTGACGATAAAGCTTAGTCATTGTTTTGGAGGGTGACCCTTCTTCAGAATGGATGGATTTGGTGGACATCTGTTGTATGTCCTGAATGACAGGCATATCCCTCCCTTAGAAAAGTTGTACATAATAGTCCAGGTGAGGTCTCACCAAGGCTCTATACACCTGCAGCTGGACATCTTTTCTCCTGTACTTGAATCGCTTTGTGATGAAGACCAATGCACCATTTGCCTTTCTCTTCTACTTTAAACCTTGTGCAGGTGGATCCACATTACGCATGGAGATAAATGTAATATGGGTTCAGATAGTGCACAGTCTTGAAGCTTGGGCATGGGTTAGCCACATTGCAGTTGTGTGGAGGAATCATTTTGTGCTTGGTATGAGTGAATGACATTGTGATAGTTGAAGAATAATGTCTTTATGAATGATGCATGGGAGCTGGGTAAAGCAGGAAACAATGTGAAAATGAGTCTTGCCATGCTGAGTGAGAATACAGACCCACTAACTACACAGCACTGAAGCAAAATACTGTTGTGTAGAACAATGTTAAATTAGACTAGCTGTAGAAATAGTCAGGATGGATTTATGGATGTAGAAAGATAGCTAAGCATTTGGATTAAATGTCAAAGTTGACAATGCATGCCTCTGCATTTATTGTAGAAAATACTAGGAGTTTTTACAATGATCTCAAGAATGACTGACTGTGTGAGAATTCAAACATTGAATTGTTTAATCCTAGTTGTCGGTGGTTTGCAAGGTATAAACAAAATTTGCTAACTTGCATAACCTTGTTTGTAAGTTGGTAAGTTGCCAGAGCTGATGGTAAAGCGGCTGAGTACTTAATTCAAACATTAAGCAAAATCATTGAGGAGAGTAGATGTACTCAACAAGGTTTTGTGTGAATCAGGAACAAAAACAAAGTTGCTGGAAAAGCTCAGCAGGTCTAGCAACATCTGTGGAGGAGAAAACAGAATTAACGTTTCGGGTCCGGTGACCCTTCCTCAGGAGGGTGAATCTCTTTGTGTGAATCAGACTGGCTTATTCTTGAAAAGACGTGTATGTTTCAAGAGAAGAAATGAATGTGCCAGACTTTAAAGCAGCAGTTATCATCTGCTTGGTGGAAATGCAGTGGTTGGTTTTAATTTGAAGATTATACTTGTTTACTATTTCCAAACACCTAGGGCAATGAAGGGTCATTCAAAGCATAAACTACCAATTGTGTGGAGGGCAAATAGGAAGGCAAGGCTAACATGAGCCCAATTTTTGAAAATTGGTTTACATCTAGTTTGTACAGCTGTCAAGGATTATTTTTCAGCAAATAACCTCACCACCAAAGTATTACTCATCCTGGACAATTTTCCTGGGTATCTTAGAGCTTTTGCTGACTTCAGTGACAATGAAGGGTATTATCATGCACGGGTGTATTTTCAAAGTGGACCACAAATGCTGTTTTCGACAAAATCAAAGTGCCAGGTGACGAACTCCATTGGATGTTAGGAACATCTCGCAGAATGGGTACATTCCAGTGTTTCCAGATCAGCTGCAGAACAATTACATGAGGAGCAAGGCTCATTCTTGTCTGCCTAACCTTCTGTCTCAACGTTCACAGTAAAGTATTATATTTTCAAATAGCTTAACATTTTTCGCCACACTGATTTGGGATTGGCAATTAGTCCTGAATTCAGGCTGGCATTGTGCATGCCTCCATGGGAACACACAAGGCTCCCCACGCCTCAAAGCCAACACAGTCTATTGAACCATCTGTATTGATGGATTAGGCCTCTTTAGTCAGAGGAAAAGTCATTGGACTGTCAGGTTTCATCAAGTGTCCTGTTTGTCACTTATCACGGGGTTCTGTCATTATTGCAAATGCCCACATGAAACATTTAGATTATACTACAGTGAAAGTGGCTGCATTTGGAAATGTCAGTAGACATTTAAAAAAATCTTGCTTGGGCCATCACCGTCATGGGATCTGGAAAACTGGCAGTCAGGACTTGACAAGGCAGATGCGGAAAGGTTGTTTCCACTTGTGAGAAAGTCTAGGCCCAGACGGCTAATTTCTGAGTAAAGGTGTTGCCCATTTCAGGAAGGGATGAGGAGGAATTTCTTCCCTGAATGTCATCAAATTGTGGAATTCTTTGCTGTGGAGATGCCGGTTTTGGACTGGAGTGGACAAGGTCAGAAATCACACAACACCAGGTTATAGTCCCACAGATTTATTTAAAGACACAAGCTATTGGAGTCTCACTCCTTTAGGTGTCAGTACTTTACCAAAGAGGGCTGTTGAGGCTGAGTCGTTCAGTATGTTCAAGGCTGAGATAGATATTTTAAATTAGGGAATCGAGGTTTATAGGGCAAAGACTGCAAAGTGGAGCTGATGATTATCAGATCAGCCATGACTTCTGCATAGTCTTGTCTTCAGAAGAAAAAAGACTTTAGTTGATGTATACCTGATGCTGTCGTCTGTGTGTCACTTGACCAGTAGGGTCTTGTTCGATCTATCGTACAGGTCGTTCTCCTATGACATGATAGTTGTGTTCTTGTGTGACCTCACGCTGTAGAAAATCACCATAGAAAATAACATTATAAGGAAATCGCTGTACAGCAGAAAGTTCGCGTTATCCAAACAGTGTCCACTATTCATCAATCGTGTTACAGCCAATTCGTGTTAATGAAACCCACATTATCGCAGAACTACCTGCAGTTAAAGCCTGCTGATTTGCACCAACAGGAGCTGAGTCCTTTGTGAATCATCACATCGATGTATCGATGCAGCCCCAGAAAGGCCACACAGGTTGGGAATGACTCACTTTGGATCTGTGCCTCTGGTGTACACCTGTCCTGAGTTTGCACTTATAAAAAAGTGGATTGTTTGCCTGCTTCCATTTTCCTCCAAATCTGACATGCTTTGGAACCTTATTTTGGCAAAAATCTTGGCTCAAACTATCTTTTTAATATGACAACCACATCAGACTGCCTCTGCTTTAATCACTGTGTCTCATTTTCTGTTTAATCTCTTCTCAAGTTACTGCTCTGTGTGTCTATGCATGCGTCCTTTATCAATCAAGGTAATGTTTTCCTGCTTATTTTGATGTGTATTCAAGAGAGAGAAAAATTTGCATTTATATAACGCAATGTGGAGCTGAAGAAGCGTTCCAACCAAAAACGTCAGCTTTCCTGCTCCTCTGATGCTGCCTGGCCTGCTGTGTTCCTCCAGTTCCACACTTGTGTTATCTCTGACTTCAGCATCAGCAGTTCTCACTATCTATCTCTCTTTGCATTTATATAGCTCCTTTCATGACGGCAAGCCTTTCAAAGTCATTGTCTCTACTACCAAACGGGGAAATACTTCAGAAGTGTGTAGAAGAGCACAGTGCAGAGTGAGTTGAATCAAATGCCTGCCAGATGCTTATGATTAAACAATGAAGCAGTTTATATCATTATAGTGTATTGTATCTATAAAATATTGCAAAAAGGATAACCGTATTGTTGGCAGTGGGCCACAAAGGGGCTAGTTAGTTTACTTAAGAGTCACGCTTTTCAGATAGTTGGGATGTGATGGTTGTGGATGTCATCCTTGTTCTAATTTGAGCTCTGCCATTTCTTTATGCTTATCAAAAGGCCATTTTCCTGAATGGACCTACATTGCTTAGGATCAGAAACTTGGAAGGATACCTGTGGACAAAGTAGGAACAGCATATGCAAGATTGTTACTTTTTTATTTCAATTCTTTTATATTTTGCATTTTCATTTACAAATTCCTCAAAATGTAGAAAATCGAATTTTTATTAGACTGTATTGTTCAGATTACAATGAGCAGTTGAACTTATTTGGAGGAATTATAAGTACCTAAAAATCTATAGGGAAGGGAATGGGCATGCTCTAGAAAGTGATAAACTTTGCCCCTAAAATATCAGCTGGGGATTCCTGATTCAGTTCATGGGATACAAGTCAGCAAAGTCTGGAACACTATCTAATTTGGTGCCTCCAACTTTCCAAATATAATTTCTCTCTTCACTGTAAAACTTACAAATCCACACTGGTTAATTACTTCCTTGTGTGACATTTGTTTTGTTACGTGCTGTTGGATCTAATAGTTCAGCAATTTCCATGTTGGTCCCAAGTTGTTGTTTAATGACTCAGATGCCTGAACATTTTTTTTCTTTATCTTAATTTGCTGTTCTCATGTAGTTTCACTGCTATATTTTGCTTGTATTCTCTTAGTATTTCTTTTCAGAATTTGTTGCCTCCCAATCGTGTACTCATTTTCAAATGCTGTTTTCTCTTTTTCTACTGCTTTTTATCATTTCCTTAGTTTTCCATTCCACTTTTATTTTTGCTCAGAACACATTTTGGTGATAAATTGTCTTTTCATTTGCATGGGGAGAAAACTTACTTTAGAAGTAGCCAATTTCATCCACATTCTTTCTTTGAAGTATTTTCTTTGATTTTAACCATCTCATTTGTGTACAGCAATATTGCACAATTTAATCAGCCTTTTACTGGTGAACTTTGTTCGGAAGTTGTTATAGACGTGGAGGTGAATGAGGCATGCATGTTGTTCAGCTGCACTTTTTAAATATTTTCACATCCTTGAGACACCCCGAATTACTTTGCGGGCACATAAGTACTTCTGGAAGTGAGTTATTGAGTCATAAAGTTTTGCAGCACAGAGCAAGGCTCTCTAGTGCATCATGTCTGCATGGGTCATCAAACAATAATCTAGGAAAAAACAGAGTTAATGTTTTGGGTCTGGTGACATTAATTCTGTTTTTTCCTCCACAGATGCTGCCAGACCTGCTGAGCTTTTCTAGCAACTTTGTTTTTGTTCCTGATTTACAGAATCACAGTTCTTTCGGCTTTTATCCTTCTATTCGAATTCCATTTTCCAGCACTTGTCCCATAGCTTTGTACGTTACAGCGTAATGTAGGAAACAAATAATGTACAGTTTGCAAACCACATGATTCCTTCTAAAGCAATGAGATCACAATTGGACCATCTCTTCTGGTAATGTTGGCTGAGTTTTAAATATTGGCTAAGATAGCAATGGAAACTTGCCTGCTCTTCTTAGAAATAATGTTTTGCATCCACCCAAGCCAAGGCTCCATCTGCCTTTTAACGACTCGTTGGAAATGGAATTTCCACCAGTGCAGTGCACCCACAGTACTGCACTGAAGTGTTGGCCTGAAATTGCGTGTCCGCTTCGTTTTTTTTTATTTTTGTTTGTGTTTAGAATGGAAATTGAACCCACAACCTTTTTGACTCATTGGTGAGTTGATTCATTAAGTAGCAATGTAATACATTACTTTGGATAAATGACAGTGTTTTGGACTTTACTGGAAATTGGCTAGTTATAAACAGCAATGAGTTGCAACATGCAGAGAGTGTCTGGGTGGCAGGCAGCTGTTAGTAGTTTTTCTTTATTCTTTCAAGAGATGTGGGCACCATTGGCTGAGTCAGCATTTAATGCCCAACCCTGTGCCATTCTCAAATGTAGTGGTGAACTGTCATATGGCATAGGGATAGTCACAGTGCTGTTAGTGAGGGAGTTCAGAAGTTTGACACTGATGGTGATAGAATGGTAATGGTTACAAAGTGGGATGATGAGTGGCTTGGAGATAGTGGTGTTCCAAGCGTTCTCTGCCCTTGTCTTTCTAGGTGGTAGAGGTCATGGGTTTGGAAGATCAAAAGGAGCCTAGATGAGTGGCTGAGGTGTAGCTTGTAAATAGTAAACACTGCTGCCACTGTGTCATTGGTGGAGGGAATGAATATTAGTGGCAGTGTTACTGTTGAAGAATTAAGTCTGATGCCAAATGTCTGAATAGATACGCAGGTTGACAGCAATGGCATCATTAATTTTCCATGCCCACAAACTTTTATCAGTCCTAGAGCAAAGGCAAGAAGAAGTGAAAATGTCTTGACCTTCAGCGGGATGTTTGATGATCCACTGAGCAGAAAAGGTCAATGGAGAAGAAGGTTGGGAGTCATTTTGTATGGAATGGCTGCTTAAAACTTTGGCACCAAGTTCCTGGGCTAGAAATCAGGCAACACTTGTTGGGTTGTTTGACTAAGGGTGTAACCTTGTAACCTGAGACAGATGTTTCTAAATTTTTATTTAGCCTCAGTGCACCAGATGTGGTCTCAATGTGCAATTTTGGTAATTATCTGAAGTCAATATTACCATCCTTGTAAGCATGTATGAACAGCAGACTCTGCATCGTTGTAGTGTGTTTTGTCATTGGCCATGGGTGAGGTCCCAGAAGACTGGAGGGTAGCGAATGTTGTGCCCTTATTCAAGAAGGACTGCAAAGAAAAAGCTGGGAATTATAGATCAGTAAGTTTAACATCTGCAGTAGGTAAGTTACTTGAGAAGATTCTGAGGGATAAGACACACATGCATTTAGAAAGACTGGATTTGATTAGGAGTAGTCATCATGGCTTTGTGCGTGGGAGGTCAATACCTCACAAATTTGTTAGAGTTCTTTGAAATGACCAGGAACGTTGATGAGGGCAGGGCAGTAGACGTTGTCTATATAGATTTCAGTAAGGCCTTTGATAAGTTCCACATGGTAGGCTGTTCCAGAAGGTTAGATCGCATGGAATCTAGGAAGAGTTGGCAAATTGGATACACAATTGGGGCTTAATGATAGGAAGCAGAGAGTAATAGTGAAGGATGCTTGTCAGACTGGAGGCCTGTGACTACTGGTTTGCCTCAGGGATTGATGCTGGGCCCATTGCTGTTTGTTATCTGTGTCGGTGATTTGGATGAGAATGTACATGGCATTATTAATAAGTTTGCAGATGACACCAAAATAGGTGGTATTGTGGACAGTGAGGAAGGATATCAGAAATTGCAGCAGGATCTTGATCAGCTGGGGAAGTGGGCCAAGAAATGGCAAATGGAATTTAACATAGATAGGTGTGAGGTGTTGCATTTTGGAAAGTCAAATCAAGGTAGGAGGTTCATGGTGAATGGTAGGGCCTCAAGGAGTGGAGCAGAACAGAGGTACCTTGGAGTTCAGGTGCAAGGTTCTCTGAAAGTGGAGCCATAGGTAGACCGGACAGTGAAGAAGGTTTTTGGCACATTGGGCTTCATCAGTCAGGGCATTGAGTGTAGAAGTTGGGAAGTTATGTTGCAGTTGTACAGGACATTGGTGAGGCCACTCTTGGAGTATTGTGTTCAGTTTTGGTCACCTTGTTATAGGAAGGATGTTATTAAACTGGAAGGAGTGCAGAAGAAATTTACAACCCAAATGCAGGGAAACGGGGTTAGCGTGGATGGACATTTTGGTCGGCATGGACCAGTTTGGGCCGAAGGGCCTGTCTCTGTGCTGTAGGACTCTGACTTCCATGACTCTTTTTTTTTCAGTTTGCACCTGGCCTACCTATTGAATATTGTGGTGACAGAAATGGCTCCAGAGTATGAAACAGGTGTCTGCAAGTTTTGTAGGTGTTTACCATCTTAAAAGACCAGAAATGGTTGCTAACACCTACCTGAACTGTTCAGGCGATCCCAGTGTCACAACTTGCAGGCCTCCTAGATAATTTTACAGCCACCAGAGCACTGAATGGTCACTGTTATTTTACTGTAGGAGACCGCGCAGTCAATTTGCTCACAACCATCTCTGACAAACAGCGACATAGTCACATGCAGAAAGTGAAATAAACAACTGTTACAGTCATACAGCACGGAAACAGGCCCTTCAATCCAACTCATCCATGCTGACCAGGTTTCCTAAACTGAACTAGTCCCATTTGCCAGTGTTTCGCCCATATCCCTGTAAACCCTTTCTATTCATGTGCCTGTCCAAATATCTATTAAATGTTGTAATTGTACCTGCCTGTACCACTTCCTCTGGTAGCTCGTTCCATACACGCAACACCATTTGTGTGGGAAAAAGTTTCCCCTCAGGTCCCTTTTAAATTTTTCCCCTTTCACCTTAAACCCATGCCCTCTAATTTTGGATTCCCCTACCCTGGGGAAAAGCCGTTTGCTATTCACCCTATCCATGCCCCTCATGGTTTTATAAAGCTCTATAAGGACACCCTTCAGCCTCCTACCCATCAGGGAAAAATGTACTAGCCTATCCAGCCTCCTCTTATAACTCAAAGCTCCAATCTTGGTAACACCCTTGTAAATCCTTTTTGCAACTTTCGAGCCTGATAACATCCTTCTTATAGCAGGGTGACCAGAATTGTACGCAGTACTCCAATAATAGCCTTAACAATGTCTTCTACAGCCTGTAACATGACATCCCAACTCCTACGCTGAGTGCTCTGACCAATAAAGGCAAGTATGCCGTACATCTTCACCACCACCCTGTCTATCCATGATGCCACTTTGAAGTAACTATGTACCTGCACCCTTAGCTGTCTCTG